CAGACGCTGACAGATAGCTAAATCTGATTTACAAGCCTTGGCAGATTCTGGAAAGCCTCAGAAAGGATGATGAGTCCTTTTTACAATCTGCTTTGATGACACGGGAATGAAACAAACAGAAAAACTAAGAAAATAAGAGAACAGCTTCTGGCCTCAATTTCACAGAAGCAACTACAATAAAAACACAGCATTATGTGCCCGTGCATGCCTTTTGAAACGGTTTGCTTCATCCCTGGACCAGTATGCCACACATCGTTCAAGGGACAAGCTGTTACATCCGAATGAAATAAAAATCCCACACCTCCAGCTCCCATTCCTCCTTTTCAATGTTTGCAATCGGAGGTACAATAATGAAGCAAATTCAGCGGAGATAACAGATTTCCCATCATGTTACCAGCTTCCTTTCGGAGGATGCCACCACACAAACGTGTCTAAAAATATTCCTCTTTCACGCATCATCAATATCTTCATTACGAAAGATGGACGTCAGGTTGTGTTTGCTGGTTTCGTGTAATGCCAGCTGACAGGGCGGCATCTTGCCTGTGTTTGAGACACACAGCGTTTTTGTCTACGCCGTAATTCCACTTTTGCAGACGCGCGGAATGCAGTTTCACACCGTGCATGTGACGGAGCAAGCCGTGATAATGTTTGGAATGGAAGTGGCCTTGTCAACATCATAATAGAGATGAAGGAGCACACATTTATTCATGCATTATCTTCTTTCTCCTTGGCTTATGAGTCAACGTCTTGCATAAAAACTCATGTGACACAATGTTGAAACCTTTATTTATTTCAGTTTGAACACAAAAACTTTAGGTTGCATGAAATGTCGGATTTACGGAAGAAGATTAGGGCCAAAGAAAAGAAAGAGAATTCTGACTTTAATCTCAAAATTTTGATTTAAATCTCAGAACTCAGCCTTGTTTTTCTCAGATTCAAAAAGTCAGAATTCTGACATTAGAGGTCCTGGCCACCACCATCACCCAGGACCTCAAATGGGAGCCCACCATCAGAAAAAAGGCCCAGCAGAGGATGTACTTCCTGAGGCAGTTGAAGAAATTCAACCTATCATCACAGTCGATGAGGCAGTTCTACACCGCTATCATCGAATCCACCCTCACCTCCTCCATCACCATGTGGTACGCTGGAGCTACCACCAGGGACAAGAAGAGGCTGCAGCGTGTCGTGCGCTCTGCAGAGAGGGTCATTGGCTGCAAACTCCCCTCCATTCAAGATCTGTACACCTCTAGGACATTGAGGCGTGCAGGTCGGATAATAGCTGACCCGTCTCACCCTGGACACAGTCTCTTCGACTCGCTCCCATCTGGCAGAAGGCTCAGATCCATTCGGACCAGAACCTCTCGCCACAAAAACAGTTTCTTCCCCTCTGCACCTTTCGGGGCGACGGTGGCACAGGAGTTAAGTGCTCGCCCCGTAATCGGAAGGTTGCTGGTTCGAGTCCCGCTCAGTCTGTCGCTGTCGTTGTGTCCTTGGGCAAGACACTTAACCCACGTTGCCTGCTGGTGGTGGTCGGAGGGACCGGTGGCGCCAGTGCTCGGCAGCCTCGCCTCTGTCAGTGCGCCCCAGGGCAGCTGTGGCTACATTGTAGCTCATCCCCACCAGTGTGTGAGTGTGTGTGTGAATGGGTGAATGACTGATTGTGTTGTAAAGCGCCTTGGGGGGTTCTAGGACTCTAGAAGGCGCTATATCAAATACAGGCCATTTACCATTTTACTTTTGAATGAAAATCCTAGGGCAGCCCACTCAAGTTGATTGGTCCCAGTCACGTGACCCGTTGCTGTGCTTGAACCATTCAACAAACACTCAGATTAATACCTACACGGAGTAGATAGCTGCTTCTCTAAATCTTGCCACTTTTTACATTAATAATTTTATCATGAGTGTTTTATTAGTTCTTATATTTGCTTATCTCTTAATTAAATTTTTTTTCTATCTTACCTTCTGCACCAAAATACCGCAGCAATTTCCTAATGTTGTGACTTGGCACACATATGGCAATAAAAACTTCTGATTCTGATTCTGATTAAAATCAGAGTCCTGAGATTAAAGTTAGGGTTCTCAGATTAAAATTAGAATTCTGACTTTTTTCTGTAGTCGCAAAGGATTCAGATAAAAAAGTCGGAATTTTGAGTAAAGAGTTCAAATTCTGAGATTAAAGTCAGAATTCTCACGTTAATCTCAGAATTCTGACTTTTTACTCTGAAGTAAAAAATTCAGAATTTTGAGGAAAAAAATTGGAATTCTGAAATTAACGTCAGAATTTTCTTTCTTCTTTTTTCATTTCAGTGGCCCTAATCATCTTCCGTATCTTCCCTTGTATTCTCGAAACATTGAAATAAAGTAGATTAAAATCCCGGCGTAGCGCCACAGCGCAGCGGACACTCATGATGCATTTTCACCGTCTCTGCTTTATTTGATCTCAGCCGAGCTGTGAATATTATTCATCCCAAACAGCTGACTAAGCATTTTCTCAGCCAATCTCGACCTCTCTCTCATGGGCAGCATGTCTTGCTGCTGATCTCGTAAGCACGCTTGAAGGAACTTCAACTAATTTAACACTTCAGAACGTATAAGCGCCTCGCCGAGGAGACGTTCCTTTAGCCGCGTGAGCTTCGCAGCAGCGATATATGCAGGAAGGAAAAATGTATCGCCTCATTTTCATGCAAGTCTAGCCTAATTATTTGGCAAAGCGGGTGTGGGAGCAGTACAATTGATTCTGTTTTTGGTCTTTAGGCGATGTAGGATTTTCCCCAGACACACACTACAAAGTGAATTCCAACTGTGCTTTGGGAGACAGTGGTGAGACGCGGGGATGTCCACAGGCAAAGGCCCTAAGTCACATTCTGTTATGCTAACCATAGCTGCACTGTAAACAACCTTACCTCGCCTTGTACTAATTATCGTCAGACAGATGAGATCATTCATTCATATCTGCTAAGCTGACATGGTCAAGGTTTGCACACTTTCCCTTCCTCTCCTCTCCTTTCCCTCCTTTGCTCTACTTGCTTCGCATTGCTCCATCTGTGCCCTCTGTATGAAAGGGAATAGTTGAGCAGGCCTGACAAAGGGAGGCACAGAGGAGGCAGAGGTGCTGAGGAAAGCTGAATACTGCTGGAAGGGATTTCTATCTGTTTGGGTGTGCGTTGTGCTTGTGTGTGCTTGTGTGTGTGTGTGAGTGTGTGAAGAGAGAGGGAGGAACAAGAGAAGCCTATTGTGTACACGCTTGAATGTGAGTCAGTTTGAATATTAGTTCCCTTCCTTTGGTGTCCTTTTATTGACAGGAAACATCGACACCGGGAACGCTGCTGTGTGGGAATAGTTCATTGAAAAGAACATTTTCAGGCTTTTTTTTTAGGTTCGATTCTGTGAAAAATGTCTTTCCTGTTGTTAACAGCAAACTAAACTGTCACAGTTCAGAAAACAGAGTTTGTGTTCACCATCTGAAGAGCTAGCGGCACGTCTGAATTCAGCCAGGACAAAAGCGTTTGATCTTAAATTTCATTTCATTACAATGCTTGTGATTTTGTTCCATAAACCAATTAAACCATCATTGATTATGCATCTTTTTTCTACTTCTTGAAGTTCCAGACTTGCAATTTTGCATTATTTACAAGAAAGTGTTAATATCTACCACAGAAGTCTTGACATGTTTGTTGAGAGATGTTGGGTAGGCTTGGTGCCATTAAGGCAGAGCTGCAACTGAGCAAAACAACAAAGATGGCGGCAGCTCAGGAATTTCGCTCGTCTGCTGTGGCATCAACTTTGGACGATTTAGACTTGAGCTTTTGTTTGAGACCTGAGCAGATGGAGGTACTTCTCCTCCTCCGTCAACAGTGCATGGTGTCGCGTTGACCGACTTTCGCCTTTATGAATACATCACACTGTGCATCGCTCTGATTGTTCTTGGCTCTGTCCTGTTTCGGGGAGAGGCAGAGGCACCCCTACGACTGTGTTTAAGTCAAGACTCAAGACCCATCTTTTTAGGTTAGCTTTTATCTAAATATTTACTACAGTTTTATTTCTCGTTTTACATGATTATATTTTATTACTTGCTTTGCATGTTCTATATGATTATATTTTAGCACAGTTTTATTATTTAAATTATTATTTTACTGTTTATATCATTTTATTTATTACTTATTTTCAAATTTTTGTCGTTTATATTAGCTCTTTTATTACATTTTTACTCATTTTAATCCAGTGTTTCCTCTGTGGGGGCCCTCTGCCTCGGGAGCGGTGGTCGACTGTAGCTTCCTGGGCGCTCTATAGGTGGGGGTCTATGCTCCCCCTCCACTGAGCGCCCTGACTTAGTGTGGAAGACCTGATGCTGCCGGGTCAGACGGCTCCTCTGATGGCGTTTCCTTGCGTTACCATACTTGGCTCATCTGGACTCAGGCTAATATAATTTTTACTTGTGTGTGTGTGAGTCTGTGTGTGTGCGTGTGCGTGTGATTGCATATGTTTGTTAATGTTTTTAACCTGTTATAGGAATCTGGGGTCATTTTGTAAAGCACTTTGAATCACACTTTGTTTGAAAAGCGCTTTAGAAATAAAATTTGATTGATTGATTGTATGGGTCATGGCCAGACTATACCAATAACAGCTAAATGAAGCACTTCTGGTGCTCACTTCCTGAAGGTTTAGTCCAGATAGGAGACATTTTTTCTTTTTCTCAAATCTTTCATGACCTACAGTTGGATCCCAATCCCAACTTTGGGAAACAAAGCCCCAGGATTATAAACTAACATGAGCATTAATCTATGTTACACTTACAGCAGTTTCAAAATAAAGCTCTACCCAATTTAATTTTGATCTTGGCCGTGCGTGGACTAGCCAATGACTGATTCGCTTTGGACGCCGACTCTATTTCACCAAACTGAGGTCACTCAGAAACGTTTACTCAGAAACAAATTTACAAATAGTTCAAATCTACTTCAGTTTTGAACAAAATCCATTTTCTATTCTTTGTCTAATAACAGATCATCAACCGGACTTGGTTCCTGTCCTCCGCGACTGTCCGACCGAGCCCGCCTGGCCCTCAGCATGCTACCGTCCGAGCTGGGCCTGCTGTTGCTGCGGCAACAACATCAACTTCACACTAGCTGGCACGACTCAGCTCTGCAGCTCGGCCTCATTATGCTGCTGCTGGCTTTGATGTGGTTTGTGAGGCTTTACCTGCATTACTGCAGCCAGTGGCTGTACCTCCAGGCCATTGCAGTTCCTGTCAACAAGTAAGTATGCTTCTTTTGATATGACCCTACACACACACACACACACACACACTCACACAGACAGATGGGTGTGTAGATGCACATGCAGACACATAGCTCACACTGCTGATGAAATAAATCACCAACATGGAGGAGAGATACAGTATGCTGTAGATTATTGGCCAATTGACACAAATGTACACTCACACGGCTTGTAAGCACGAGAAAAAGACATAAGGATTGTGGTAAAACAGGAAGTGGAGAGGATAACGAGCAGGGGAGAGACAGAAAATGTGTGTTTGTGTGTTGGCAAACGTGCAGGCTGAATCCACCCAAATCATCTGTTTGGAATCCCCCATTAACATTTTAACAAGACTCTCTCAATATTAACAAACCATTGCTGGGGGAGCTTGCTCACCACACAGCTTCAAGTCCCAAAAGGCCTTATTTGGAAGGAATTTATTGTTATTATTTGGTACGCAGCATTGCTAATAAACAGCCATGAGACAGTGCAGAAGTGTTAAATCACAACACGATAGCATATGGTGCCGATTTCAGCCATCACGATAACAACGATTTAAAAAAAGCTGGCTGCAAAGAGGCAGAGCTTTTGTTTCGTTTGTGGAAGCGTCGTGTGTTAAAGCATGGGCGAGCGAGCGAGAGAGAGAGAGAGGCTGAGGGGGGCAGATAGGAGGTTAAAAAAGTGAAAACAGAGGGGGTCAACGTTGGATGACAACTTCCACATGTCTGAATGTGCGCCTCTCTCCCCTTCGAGCACATTTCTCCCCGCGCCGCGTCCAGAGCTGCTGGTGCCCATTGAGAGGCAGAAGTGACAGTCAGCATGGTTGAACGATGACAGGAACCCCGCCCCTCACACGTTTCTACAGATCTCCGGCTCTTCCGTTCTCCTTTTGCTTCCAGTGCACCTCTTCATCAGTGAAAAACACGTTTTGTTCTCTGTGTAGCCCCCGCACTTAAACGTTCGGACACTGAATGTTAAAAACCAACTCAAAATAAAATTAGCATCGAGTTTATATTTAACTTAAATTTTGTTTGAATCGATCATTTCTGCTCCTTGCAAGAGCCAGTTAGGGGTACCGTTATGTTCCCAGGACAGGCGGGATTTTATGAGCTCGTTTCATCTGATGAATACTGGTTATTAATAGAGGCAGCATGGTCAGAGGACTAATAATAACCAAATGTTGTAGTTATATTGCAAAGTCATCAAAGAAATCAATAAATTTATTAAAAATACACATTTTTTAAAAATAAAGATGTTCCTTACAATAATCATCTCCAAAAGCTGAATCAGAAATTGGACATGAAGAATTTATAGCTGGATAATAAACATAATAGTCCTATTTTACAAAAAAAAAGCTTACATTAATTCATCTGTGGTTTCTGTTTGAACGGTTTATCTAAACTGGGGTGAAACTTTAGTTTTTGTGTAGAAAAGTAGCATAAACGTAAAGTTTTCAGTCAAAATAAAACAACGTGTTTTTTGTAAAGTTTATTCTAAATGTAAATTGAATGTGAAAAATATTAAATTTGGCAGCTAATTTTCCTGGTTGTGAGCAAATGAGTGAAAAACTATAAGTGCAATCTAATATAATTAGATCAAATCTGTGAACATCATCTGTGTTGATCACCCTGTGGGGTGTTTCCTGAGCTCTACATCAGCTTTCTAAGATCTGTTCTGAGATCTGCTTCAAACAAAGGACCAATGAACCTCCGCAGTCGGATTAATGGACAGAATCCGAGAGACGCTGGACTCTTGGAACAAATCAGATGGAATTAATGAGAGAAGCTGGACGTGTCCTCGGCCACCACTGCTCTACCTCCTCCTGACTGAAGGGAAGATTAAGAAGCTTATGAGGCTTGCTGTAAATGGAGTCAACCCTACAACAGAAGAGCTCCATTTTTAGTCTTCTTTATCACAAACCTGTTTGCAAACCTAATAAAGTTCTTTATTTCAGTGGAAAAGCTGACTAATTAAATATAATCAAATCATATTACAACTCGGGGAGTGAATTGCCAGAATCGGTTGCCTCTGAGGTGCATCACAAAAACATTCCTAATCCGTGCCGGCTGATGCCGTTTTCTCCGCAGATTCCAGCTCCACGCTCACACCGTGGAGCTCATCTACCAGAGCTCGTTGCTCCACACCCGAGAGGAGCTGGCGATGGTGGTGGTGGGTCCCCTGACCTTGAACGCTGTAACGTTCCTGCTGGTTCTGATCAGATGGGGCTGTCAACTGATATTTGGCTCACTCCCTTCCTTCACATCAAATTGTATCATGGCTCAGGGAGTGTGGACAGTCCTCGACCCCCTGGCAGTCTTCACTGTGGATGCCGTCCTCGGGGTAAGTCACTTAAAAATAACTTGGACACTTGTGCACTTTAAATAGGAGTTCACTCTATCTTGGCAAAGTGACTTTAAATTACAAAAAAGGAGAGGGGAGGAAAATGAGTTGGCTAGATCAGAGTCTTCTTTTGGCAGCAAGCTGAATTCAGCCAGTTATTCTGCCTTATTTATGAAAAGTCTAACAACTATTTCTTTAAAATTGATGCAAATTTGCACATATTTTTAAGATTCAGTCTCTGTTGTGAATACATATTTTTTCCGTGTTGCCAATGCCAAGCCCAACCGAGTGAACCCAGAGCTGCTCTGAGCCACATGCTTGTCCGTTTGGTCTGATCTTCCAGCGTCTCGCCTACAGCCCCGACACACCAGTAGGAGATGCAGCCAAGCTTTACTGGCACTTCTATCGCGCTGACCGGTCAGGTGCTGCCGGAGTCATCATCACTCTGTTCCTCTACACAGTCCACTTCCTGCTTTCCATCACTATTCTAGCTATTTACCTGCTCAGGTGAGACACAGAAACAAGATGGATAGGTTCCTGTACTTGACAATTACCAATACAAGAAGGGGGGTTGTCTTGTATTTCGTAGTTATCTTAAATATAGCATAGGGTCCACCTTTTGCATCAAAGGGGACACATTCTGACCTATTTTTATGAAGTTATAATAGTTTTATGTTTGATGCAAAACATGTTTATGAAGGTCTTTGCTCTAAAATCATTTCACATAAGACACATAAAATATTAGTAGTTTTTATTGTTGGCCACACCCACCCATCCCCCACTCAGGCTGCTATAAGCTTAGAAGCTCCAATATCTAGGAGGGGTACACAGTAGAGCCGCTGCTCTACCAGCAAAAGTTCTCTCTTGCACGTGAAAGGTGTTTCTATTCTATTTTCCCGTTTGTGATGTCACAAACAGGGCTTTATTGAAACAGCTTGTATTACTTAGATAAATCCTAAAACCAAACACTGACAGAAAAGTAAGGAACGGGTTATTTCATATCTGGGGTGTTTAGAGAGGAAGTATAGACTCACATGGCACCTCAAAAGGATGTAAAAGGTGAGTTTTGCATATTATGTCCCCTTTGAAACACAGAAGAAGTAGAACCCTGGTTTACGACAAAAATAAAAAAAATACACTGAATTAAAACATGTTTATTAAAAAAATTAATTAAATTGACATTTGCATCAGAGTTCTACACCAGAGGACACAAACACATGTAACAACTGTCTTCTGTAACACACCATCCTCTGCAACTGGCTGGAAAATCTACCATTTCCTGACTCAGATGTGTTTTGATATAGCGTGAACGTGTTACCATCTTTCAGGATCCGATTAGGATGAATATTTAGCGTGGTTGGCTTCACTGCCTGTTTCATACATACTGAAATTGGCTGCATATGGTAATGAACATGCGTACGCTAAATAAAAACACGGTGTGATCCTGATGTCTTGTAGATTGAGGTCAGCCACATCCACACATTTTACTTGCAAGCTTTGCATTTCGATCGTAGCCCCTCCGAAAAAAAATAATAATCTGCTCAAACCAGTAAGGATAAAAAACAGAAAACACCAATAATACAGAGGTTTGTATTCATTTAAATCCACACCAGGTTTATTTTGTATAAAAACTTCAGACTGATCTCCTTTTGTCCTGGTAGTAAAAGTTGAAGTGCTGAAGCAGAAGGACAGGTGGTTTTATCTGAGGTGGAGAGAAAAGGAAATCCTGTCTGAATAAATCATTCGGAGATGTGCCACCGAGGTGTCATCTCAGGAAGCTTATCTAGACTCAGCTAAATGGACAATATTAAAACAACAGCTGAGAATAATGACTTCTGCCACTCAGCCGCCTCCCAGGTTTGTTTTGAATGTAGGCCACGAGGCTGGAGCAAGGCTGATCATTTTACGGCTTATGGTTTCTGATTGGCTGTGAGGAAAGGGTTCTGATGCAGACCGTGACCTATTTCTAAAAAAATAAAATAAGAGCCCCGGGCTATGTGTATAGATAGAATGGACTGTCATCTTTTTTAATTACATTTTAGGCAGCCTTTAGTCACTTCCTTTGAAAAAAAACAAAACACATGACAGGCTGTAAAACTTCATAAAGACCAAGATCGGGGTGTCATGGGCAAGTTGGTGCATTCACAAAACACCATTTTCCTCTGGTCCAGGTCCCTTGTAAACGCATCCCTACACGGCATATGACAACTTCCAGTCTGCTGATTGGTTAGATGTGTCTGGGCTAACAATAGCTAGACACTAGTTCTGATGCTGAGCTAGTCGACTACACAGTCTAACCCTCTCTCCACGACCTGTTGAAAATACAACATCACCCTCTTCATTTAGCAAACATCAGCAGGTAGTTTTTTCTTTCTGTCACCATGACACCAAGATATGTGATGACTCCTTAAAGCCTGATTCATGCTCCTCCGTCAGCTCCAACAGGGACAGACACGCATGGACGGACGGAGACGTTTAGCCCTCGTACTTCTCCGTCTCCTGCTGCAAAGCAATTCCCCGCCAGGACAACAGAGGGCGTAGCGCTGTTCTGTGGTATCATGTCATGTATGGGTCCTAGATAGTGTGTTTATATTGTGTTTTTTGTATATAAGAGACTTTTTAACACAGACATATTAGTCTCTCATCCTCCTCCACCTCTTCATGCGCTCACCACCTCTAAACCCACGTTTCCTCTCATTTCCGTCCACAAATAAAACGCTTGCTGCTTCATCTTTTCACTCCTCCAGTCACGGGGAATTAAACGTTCATATTTTTAGAGTTTTTCGCGAGGTACTCTTCAAGCTTCTCCGTGTCTGCCGCTAGTTATTCCCGCGCCCTCTTTATGTTTTTGAGGGCGCAATGGCGGCGGTGTAGACGACAGCGGCGCCCTGACCAATCGCAGGCTTGCGTTCTCCGTCTCGACGGACGGATGTTTAGAAAAGAGAGCTCGACTCCGCCCGTCCTTGCGGGGCTCTCCAGCAGACCCGCACTGACGCAGACACAGAAGCATGACTCAGGCTTAAGACGCAGTGACCCCCCTCCCATACTGAAAATGTCTTGATATAAGCAGTGTTGGGCAAGTTACTTCAAAACTGTAATGCATTATTTATTACTTGTTACCCTAATTTTAAAGTAATTAATTACATTACAAAATTACTGATTTTAAAATGTAAGGCATTACACTACTTTTGCATTACTTGAAGTAACTTTCACCAAAACAACTTCAATATGAATCTGGTCATGTGACGCTCAGTGAGCTCATGACATATATGTGGAAGGTGATGTGGTGTCTGAGCTAGGATTGCTGTTAAAAACAATCAGATATAATAACAGTGCTTTAAAATGATTGTTTATTAAATAAAAGCAACAACAATCTGTACTCTCAGCACGCTGCCATCTTATATTAACTGAGCAGGGAGTGAGGTGGTGGGGGCTCCAAGCCTATATTTGCCTTGGTCCCCAAACGCCTTGATACGGCCCTGGATGTGGGACTGACTTCTGGAGTGATCTGATTCTATCACATGTATAAATATTAAATGCTTATATATTATTGCTTTTCACTGGTAAAAATGTGTATTGGGGATAAATCTACCTACATTTTTCTTTTCAAGCACTTTGTTTTGTTTTCTTGATTTTATGTGAATAATTTCCTGCCCTTTCTCTCTCTAACCGTCCTGCATGCTGCATGTTTTCTCCGTCTTCCAGAAAAACTGTTTCCTAGATTTCCTACTTTCTAACTAATCAGCCAAAAGGATCTGCCGAACGCAAAAATAAATAAATAAATAAAAAAGCTTCACGCTGCGCTCCAGCAGCAATGAGTTGAAATCAACGGGGCACAGATTATGAACTCAGCTGAAAAGTACATGAAGTACCAGAGAATATGGGCTGATATAAACGATCGCAAACGAATAACTTTGTTTTGGTGGAGCGATTTTGTGAATATAACAGCGGCCGCGCGCAGGACGCAGCTGGAGTATTTGAGCCATTACCGCTGCTTCCTCTCTGCTCATAGAATGCCCGCAAAGCTGAGTCCATAAATTACGTCATATATGTGGATACTGGATCTTTTTTCAGGCTTCTCGCAATTTGAAATTTTAGGAAACCCGCATCTTGATTCTGGGTTTAAAAATGCGTTGTAATTACAGCGTTACTGACAATTGTACCGAGTAAATATTACCATTTTCTTTCCCTGTAATGCCTTACATTACCACATCACGGCAAAAAGCAATGCATTACAGTAATTAATTACTTTTGTACGGCGTTACTCCCAACACTGGATATAAGTGTCTTCATCCAGGTCAGAACGCTCATACACAGGAACCTCCTGAACTTCACGGCTCCTTCACAGCCATGAAATTAGCCTCCTTTGAAGCACAAAGATGCAATTCCTCCCAGAGAACGGCTGCATAAATGAATGAGAAGCAAAATCCGAGTGCAGGATGAAAATGATTGCATGCTATTCCTGTGTCTGAGGTCAAGTTTCTACAAACATCCCTCTCCCAAGAGCCATAGGGGAATAATGCTGGGCTCAAAGCTCCGTAGCGGCTCTTTGTGTAAATCCTTGTCTCCTTGATGTTGTTTTTATTTGAGAGCTGATTACCCTCTGACAGACTAGCGTCTTAGTGGAAGGGCACAAGGTCTGCTGGTTTTGATGGCCAGCCAAAGTATTTGTTTACAGACGGAGTGTTTCTTTTTCGGGGTTGGCTGCATGCAACCCGTGTGTGGCAAAACAAAAATAACACTTTGGAGGTACGAATCGATACGCCTTCTGCTCTGCTCAACGCTTTCTTGTGACTCAAGCCAGGCTCTCCAGACACGTACATTCGACGCGTTTGCAGTCTTTAAAAGTCGGCATTAACATCGAAGAGCATCCCAGGATCCGACTCCCACACGTTAACAGATGCAACGCCACACAGACACCGAGCCAAACATGGACGCCGCTACAGTCTGCCTGCAATCACAAAGATCTTCCCACTCACAGGCCAATTTGTTTGATTCTTGGTTGCCATTTCATTTGATGTATTAGATCAGCCAGCGAATATGCTCTCTTCAGTCAATAAGTATTTTTTTTCCAGCAACAACCCATCTGTCTGTCTGTTGTACAGAGAGAAGAACGCAGCTATTATTCTTGACTCGAGGAAGATCGTGTGTGTCTTTATTGCTCGGGCTGTCGTAGAGCGCAGCAGCATGCTTCTTCTTCCATGCTGTCTTTATTTTTCTGTGCAGGTTCCACAACGACGGCCGCATGTTGGACACCTTTCAGCGGCTCACAGCCAAGGAGGGCATGTACTTCCTGCCTCATGATCTGGAGCTGTCGAATCAGGAGCTCAGCTACATCGTCAAGAAGGCCGAGCAGTGGAGAGGCTTCAATGGGGAGAGGCGGAAGGTAAAACACGTCTCACTCCCTGATTTTTACACTCCCGACTGAAGGCCTTGCAGATAAATTGAGCTAATGGTTGTTTTCTTACACAGAACGATCTATAAGGTCATCATTACCAGCCTGATTGATTAGTTTGTGAAAAATGAGTCAACTGACGCTTGGGGGGGTTGCTCATGCAGAGGTGCTAAAGGTTAAGCATGGACTGTAAATGCAGGAGTAGCGCACTGGTCACTTTCCAGGATTTATTCCATGTGAGCAGGATGCACAGCGCAAGCTCCTTTATATCATTATATTTTCTTTAGTTACATGTGAGAAAGCTGAGGATTCATCTCAGAGGTCTTTAGCTTCATTCTAATTAGTACGAGATAATTACCAAAACAGGGCGTCGACGTGCAGGCAGCTGATTAGTCTGTGAAAACCAATTTCTGAAGATTTTTCATTAGAGAAAGAGACTGCTCAATCAACACGCGGCGATGCAGGTGTGTGTTACGGTGGGCAGGCTCTTCGTGGGGATAGCTTCGTGCCAGATAAGGCAATTCTGCTGAATAAAGGTCCCCATGAAATTAGTACCTCAAAGAAAAGCGGCCTCATCTGTGAGAACGCAGCAAAGGTCATAAGGTGATGCCACAGGAAAGGGCAGAGCTGGAAATGTGACTAGTAGAGATTAGAAAAGCAGAAAGTGGTGATAAAACTGCCCTTTTATGTATTTTGGGTGCAGCACACATCAATTATATGTTGTTTATATTTACTTGTGCAAATTCATGTAAAATGTTTGAAAGCAAAAATAACAACTCTAAGTTATCCAACACAGTTTAAACAGGCCGAAGTATAACAGCAGTCATTATTTACAACCCAAACGTGCCATGGAAGCTTAACTCATTCACTGCCAGCGTTTCTCACCGTTTTTACTGTTTTTTTAAGAGTGACAGAAACGTTGCGTGCCAGGATGATGTCGAGGCCAACACAACCAAAACAAAGCGGAGACTCACCTCTTACATCAGGAAGAATCCGCGTGTTTCGAGCGTTATCCGTTCTTTCATAATCCGTTGTTGAGTTGTTGAGCTATTGTGTAGAGGTCTGGGGAAACACGTACAAAAGTCTTTTACAAACAATAACGACAATGCAGAAAAGGGCTATCAGATTAATAACAAATGCAGGATATTTGGATCACACAAATGAACTTTTTATTAAAACGCGGACAATGAAGTTCCAGGACTTGGTTAAATACAAAACAGCACAAATAATGTATAAAGTAAGAAATAAATTAATGCCTGATAAAATACAGAAGCTGTTCACAGAGAGAGAAGGAGGATATAACCTGAGAGGGACACTAAACTTAAAGATACATAAGTTTAGAACAACATTAAAACAGATGTGTATCACAATAATAGGGGTTAAATTATGGAACAATTTAGAAGAAGAAATCAAAGTAAGTACAAATATAAATGTGTTTAAAATGAATTATAAAAAACATTTTCTGAACAAGTATATAGTGGAAAATAGATGATTTATGTGGGTGTCCTTTATTCCAAGGAAAAGTAAATTCTATCAATTGTAAAAAGATGTTTTTTTTTTCTTTTTTGTTTTTTTCCATATAATTTGGTGGTTTTTTGGTGACTTGTACCATTTTGTTTGTTTTAATGTAGGTTTTGTGTTAGATTTAAGTAAACAAGTAAAAATTACTTGTATAAAGGGGTAGGGATATATAAGTTTCCACTTCAGCCTACTCCTTTTCAAACACAGAAGGGATGATATGTATTTTTTCCGTTTGTGGTACTTTTTAAAAAATTATGTATGTTTTCTTTGTTTGAAATAAACTAAACTAAACTAATTGTGATCGGCAGACGCTTTTCCGGTTCGCGCCTCACTTTTTTTACAGGAACGGCCCAAAACGATCTCCTAATACATGGATGGTCTGCTTCCTGATCATGTGACGTGTGACGTATACGGATGCAGATCGGCTTCAGGGCTGAGATGTTTGTTCTCTCAGCGCGGGGGCTCGTTCCGATGCTCAACCAGTAAAAAAATGCAAATGACGACTTTAGTCGTCATTGGCAGTGAATGAGTTGCGAGTGACAGAACGTTGCACGCTAGGATGATGTCGAGGCCGAAACAACCAAAACAAAAAGAAGACTCACCTCTTACATCGGGAAGAATCTGCACGTTTCGAGCGTTATCCGTTCTCTCGTAATCCGTTGCTGTATTGTGATCGGCAGAAGCTTTTCCAGGTCACGCCTCACTTTTTTTTTTTACAGCAGCGGCCCAAAACGATCTCCTAGCACATGGATTCCTGATCACGTGACGTGTGACGTATGCGGATGAAGATCGGCTTTAGAGCTGAGATGCTTGTTCTCACGGTGCGGGGGCTCGTTCCGACGCCCACACAGTAATAACATGCTAATGACGACTTTAAACGTCACTGGCAGAGAGCGAGTTCAGGTCAACTTTCTAAACCAAAACATGTGCAAGAACACAAATGTGGGATTCAAAGTTAGTAAAGTGCTGGATAAAATAGTTTTAAATGGATTTCTATGGAAAAGCTTTGAACAATTTAGCATTATTTGATTATTTGTGGGTAAAATCTAGCAGCAGCAGCTAGCTGTAGACATGTTCATCAGAACATTCATGTAATAAAGTATCCATGTAAGTGAGTGTTCATAGCACATCCACGGAGGCCGTTCTACCTGTAAGCAAATTTGCGCCTGATGATAGTAGTGGCTAGCCTGGCAATGCTCCACTGACGGCTCTCGGTTGTGGAGCGGGTTCTACCGTTGTCTTTCAAATGATCTCCGCATTCCACTGGACAATGAATGTGACATACTCTTGTTTCACTCTGTTGCATCATCCCACCCACCAGGCATATAGAGTGCCCTGATTGGCCCACAAAGCGGATAAAGCTCTGTGATTTGTTCACTAAGCAGATAGAGCACTATGATTGGCCCACCATTATGGACCAATCACAGCTCTTTATGTGTATGAAACCCCTCTAGAGAGCTGTGATTGGCTAGCCAGAGTCCTGGTAGGAGCTGCTGAGGTTCCAATGGAGCATGCCTAGACCAAACTTTGCAAAGCAAGAATTTGGTCTAGTCCACTAGGCTAAGTAGTGGCCTCACCTAACACACTTTTTGTGAGATTGTAAAAAAAAAAAAGTCCAGTTAAATATGTGCTATTAAATAGCAGCTTCACTAATAAACTGCTTTCTACTTATCTCTTAATTATGATGAGTCACTCTGAGGTTCACAGGCAGGCTGAATGTTAAAATAGTCTTCTGCCCCTATTTTCTGTATTAGCCTGCAATAACAGACGGGAAATGCTTGGCACCAGCTAGCGTCTACTTCCTGAAACAGGAGCGCTAGAGCTTTTGTTCCACAGAGAACGACTCACACGGCATGCATTAATACTAGAGACGAAAAGACTAGTGAATAATAACGCCCAACAGATAAATGCTGATTGATTACCACCGTCCTCGGTAGAAGGTTGGACTGTTCCAGGTGTACTATACTGCTGGGATATACATGCAAATGCATGCTGCCATGAGGCCAAACATAAGGAAACGTCAATACCAAAAAATATGAGGCTTCTTCACATCAGCCACAAAACACAAACTATATTTAATGTAATATATGAACTTTCCAAAGAACCCCTCTTCAAATATCCACTAGTTCTTTTAAATGCACATCTACATTTATTCATTTGGGTGATGCAACAACAAAAGTTTTAGTGTTGTTAATGAATCATGTTGTGCTGCCATACGGGTCTCTACTGCCTCTATAAGCACTGCAAACTGGGGCCCAGACCAGCTGGTTCCCAAAGTCAGAGACTCTCTTGGTCAGCTTGCTTCTCACACCAAACCTTCTGTCAGGAATCTTGGCATGACCTTTGACCCAACTCTCACCCTGGATTCTCATGTCAGTTCTCTTGTTCGCTCTTTCTTCTTCCATCTCAGGAACGTTGCTAAGCTGAGTCCCATTCTGTCCCGCTCTGAACTTCAGATCTACACCTTCATCTCCTCACGCTTAGACTACTGTAACTCTCTTTTCACGTGTCTGAGCAGAACCTCCCTGAACCGTCTACAGGTGGTTCAGAATGCCTGTGCTCGGCTTCTGACCAAGTCCTCCAAACACACCCACATCACCCCGCTTCTCCTCCAGCTCCACTGGCTGCCAGTCAACTTCAGGGTTCATTTCAAGATCCTGGTTCTGGTCTATAGGGCCTTACATGGACAAGCACCATCTTACATTGGTGATCTTCTCAGTCCCTACACTCCCAGCAGGTCCCTGAGGTCCAGTGACCAAAGCCTACTGGTTGTGCAGCACCAGGCTAAAGACCAAAGGTGACAGATCATCTGCTGCTGTGGCCCCCAGACTCTGGAACTCTCTCCCCCTGAGCCTGAGATCAGTGGACTCATTTCAACCACATTTTTCAATCATTTAAAAAAAATCAATCATTTAAAATGTTTTGGTTCTCGTGAAGCTCCTCGTGATTTTTATCTTGAGAGGCCATATATAAAATCTTTCTTTCTTTCTTTCTTTCTTTCAAACATGAAAATAATTCCTCCATCTGTTTTCTGTCAGTGTTTGGTTTCAAGAGTTAGGAGCTGTTTCAAAAAAGCCTCATTTGTGATGTCACAAATGGGGAAATTAGACTAGAATAACCTCTCACGTACACCAGAGAGCTGTGGCTGGAGGAGCAGCAGCTCTACTCCCAGCACCTCCCAGTATCGGAGCTTCTCAGCATTTAGCAGCGTGAATGAGGGATGGGTGGGCGTGGCCAGCTCTAGATTGTTTTCTTAAAGTGACAGAGCACTAAAACAGCTCATTGTGATAGGTACTGAAAATGTCAAAATAAAACAACTGAAATAGTTTTATGTGAAAGAACTTCATACACATGTTTGGTATATTAAAAATTAAGATAAGAGGCCATACTAAGTTCCTTTTAACTAAATGAACTTAAAGCCCTTATTGCCAAAATTACAAATCAGTTTTTTTGCAAAAATCTTTGAAAGA